CCCTGATTAATGTTTACTTTCATGTAGTCAGATATCCCACTCCACCAGTGAATATATAAAGCATACAGGCATGTGTTCAGTTCTAAACAGTCTGTTTAAATCGTCATGATTTAGCAAGCTGAAGTACAATCTGTGTACTTTAATCTGTGCATAAGAATGGTTGGGTGGTGGGGTTTTTTGTAGTGGAGCTACTTAAATTAATTGCATTATAAATTCCAGGGCATATTTTATTTTCCCCTAACTTGTCCCAGAAGATGAAAATACTACCCTGTTCAGCATTGGGAAAGCCACAATGAAATAGAACATCCAAGACTATATGCTTATTTTCTATGCACTGTTAACATAAATGATCTGTGACTTTTGTATTAGATCATGGATTAATGTATGTATTTTTTTTATTTTGGTGGACTTTAGCTGTCTAGTCAGTTACTAAGCTGCTATAGAAGCTTTAGACTAAGGAAAAATGATCACAAGATTAAAAAATGTTAAGCTCTAAATAACTTAAACTTATTTGTAGTGAGAGAACCTGTAGTTCAGCTAAATCCACTGCTTCATGCTTCTAACGTTCCCTGGCAAGCTTAGGCACTGAAGTATTGTTGTAGATAAGAGGTGTTCTTACTGCTGTTAGGTTTTCTTGTTTTGTTTAAGAAGTTGATTTTCCTAATTGAAAATAAGGAATTGCACACCTGCCATTCCAAACTGCTACTGGAAACAAAAGGCTAGAATATAATCAAATTGCTTCAGGGCACAGCTGAGATAAGACAGAGAAGACTGTGCCTTTCAGGTATCTCAAAAGAATGTCCTACACTAGCTCTTGTTGTCATAGTTGCAATCAACATGGAACCTGTCCAAAGACAGCAAAAAGACTCCCCTTCAGAGATTTGTGCAAGAACTACATACTTCAGCTTTGTAGAGAGGTTAGTATGTATCGTATAGTTATGCTAGAAGCCAGTAAATGCTAACTATAACACAACCCATGGAAAAGATTCACAAGTCCCTTTAGGCTTTGCATAGTATACCCTTGAGTCTGCATGGGCAAAATACCAGAATCACAGCACTCTGAAGGGCCTTGTGTTCAGTTGTTATATCATCAGCACAGAAGGCTTGCTGTAGTCTGCCTTGGAAAACTATTTGCACAATAATCTTTTGTTATCTTCAAAATTTTGACCCATTTTGGATGACTGATTCTTACACTGCTTCTTTTTTTCCTACAGCATAGTAAGAGTGCAACTTATTCTGTGGGAATGCAGAAGACATATTCCTTAATCTGTTTAGCCATGGAAGAGGATAAGATTGATCAGACAAAGAAAGCCCCACTGAAACTGCCTTTTCTAAGTTGGGGAACTAAAAATAGACAGAAAGCTGCAAGCACCCTCTGCCTTCCTTCAGCTGTGGCTGGAAGTTCTCAAATTAAGAAGAAGCTTTCTCCCTTCACACTTCTGAATACGGAAAGTTCATTGTACTGAATCTTTCACGAAGGATCTGTTAACATGACATCTTTCTTTAAAATGCATATTAAAAAATGTCGATCAATGTTATTTTTATATATACGTATGTATAAATTCAGACAAATGCTGTTGACTTCATTTACTGTGTATTGAGGCTGGCAAAAACTATAAAACTTAAGTAATTGAAGGTTAAAATGAAGTGGTTTGGGAGGTATGCAATAACAAGCTGTAGATGATAAAATTGCTTACCTGAGGACTGGATTCCTTTGGAATTTCAAACTACAGTATCATGACTAATTTTAAAAAACTATGATAGGTGGGAGTTATTTATTACAAACTTGATGCTGCATGCAAAACAATAGGGGACACATTAAATAAAGGATGATTTGCTGTAAAAGTTTAAAGTCAATAATGAATCACTTAACACTACTTCAAAGAATTACCTGAACAAACCACAGGTGAGAAAGAATAACGTTATTCAGAGAAACTAGATTTGTGCCAAGGGCAGTGTCATGTAGTTGTGGTTTTTACACATAGACATTCTCTTTCTGAGAGTACTACATGTATTGTACGGAATAGTTAATTCTGGAAGAGAATTAGAAGGCTTAGAAGTCAAAAGATCTTTTGAACTACAAAAGGCTTTTACACTGCTCTTTTTCTGATCTAGGTTACATTTTAAATGCCTACTGATTCAATTGTTAAAAACAGGCTTTATTCCAAACTTGAAATTATTTAACCTACTTACCATAACACTTGCATCTCATTAGTCTTGGTAAAATTGATAGCTGTGGAACAAATCTCAAAACTGACATTTTCCAGTATATTGATCAAGAATACATAAATTGTGGTGATGCTTTAAAATAGAAGAAAAGAAGTGCTTGTGAGTCTAAGTGGCATAATATTTATTTACTATCACACCAAGTAAAAAACAAATAGATATAAAATCCTCTTCCTCCCCTTGGAATAATTCATGAGCAAATACTGGCTATATATATTAAGGAGGGAGACAAAAAAACCCCCTGTGTGAGCATTTCTTTGAGATTCTTCTATTTTCTGAAATTGAAGTTAATTGAAAATTGCTAACACTGTAGTGTTAGTTAACATTGCCATCTACAGAGTAGATATATGCTGTTTGATACTCAAAACTTAAAATAAGGGGAAAGTTTGTGTCTGGGTGTAAACGTTAAAGTTGTCATTTATTTTTAGTTTGTTATGTAATAGGTGTAAATATGTTGATGACGCATATTTAAGAATAAAAATCAGATGCTGCCATTTAGTAGTAGCTTTTTGATTCTGCTACAGGTTGGATGATAAAGCACAATTTACAGGTTTTCACTATTCACTGCTGGCATACATCTTGCATGTTTTTGTAACGTTGCTTACAAAGATCTAAGAAACTGTCTTTCTTAAAATTTTATATTGTATAATACAGGAACTCACAAATTATAGTCTAAAACTTGCTTCCTTACAAAGAGCGTTAACATATTTCTAGAGTTTCCCTATAAAGGTTACATAAAAAAACGTTGTAAATTACTTGTGACTCACCTATCCTTAGTAATTATTCTTTATGTGTATTTGTAGTAGCACTTCTTTTACACACACAAGCAGCAGCAGTCATATACTGATATGCAAGACCCTGTCATACAATATTCCATACAGAAGAGATTCACTTTGCATGTATGGCTAAAATTACTATCCAGCTAATGAAATGTTTAGTAAAGTTGAATCGCCCTTCCAGTTCTTCATTTGTCTTAGCCCACTATGATTGATAGTCTTCCTGCAAATATCTTCCCCCTTAGCTGCATGATTAACTGCCTTTCCATTCCCATTATCACGCTCACTAGTTCTTGAGGAAAGGGTGGGGTGGGGGTCTTTTTTTATTTAACTACACCCCCCCCAATTCAAGGCAAAGTTTAGGCTTCTCAAGTACCGTATAAATACATACTTACCATTTTCCATCAGCTAACTAAAGACTCATTCTACACTGAATGGTAGCCAACAGCTAACTTAAGGCAAATACTAATTTCACAGCAAGTTACGTTTTTGCTCAGACCACAGGAATATTTGTAACAAGTTTATGTCCACAAGGATGTATAGGGCTACTATAAAGCCCTAAAAATAAAGGTTTGCAATAGATTAATAGTTCAGCCTGTAACTCTGTTAGTACTGATTGTTACTACTTTAATCGAACTTCATTTAATGCACTGAACAGATGTCCATTTGAAGTAGTAAAAAGGTGATTGCCTTGCAACATCAATAGCTACATACCTTTAGATGTGAAATCCAGTCTCCATAGCAAAGTGCCAAAGTCTGAGGGAGAGGGAATAAAATCTAAACAGATTTATAAAGAACCTTAAGCATTTCCTAGTTGTAAGAAAGTAGTATTTTGTTCTGTAGTTCTGGAAATTCTGATGTTTATTATTCAGTAAATTAAATACTTCTGGCCAAATTATACGTATATTTTCATCCCAAGTATGGGATCAATATAAATAACAGGTCTATCTGCTGTCCATGCTAACCAGTGGATGAGATTGGTTACAGAGGTGCCAAGGCTCTATTATTGACTTCTCTTTAGTTTATGAAAGGGAGTTGAAAATCCTGCTCAACTGCTTTCCTGCTGTGATCCAAAACCCAAGTAGTATGAAGGAAGCTTTTCACACACCTCCTTAATGGATGCATAAGGCAAAAGGCAATTTTACCCTTACTAAATAGGATAAGAATATAATTTAAAATAAAACGCAATATGTCAGGAAAACCAATCCTCCTCTTTACAAATAACTCTTGAAAAGATTAATACTGGAAGAACAGGTTGAATTACAAATTTTGATCAAAGCTTCCCATATTATTTTCTTTGCAGCACGTATTATATTGTAATTGATACTATAATTAATAAATTATAATTTATAATAATGTGTTGTAATATATTTTAATTTATTATAATTATCCCAACCTATATTCAAAAGCGCAACATGAATTAACCAAGATTTTGGATATTAGACACAAAGGAATAAATTTGATAACACCCTGTGAACTGAAAAAGGAACCAGAGAAATAAGTTAGTGTAAAATCAAAGAAGTATTCCAGTAGGACTTTCCAAAGGAACTCCAGAAAGTTATAAATCAACGGTATTACCTATAAAACAACGTAGGCTAACTTTTTTACAGCACTGTAAGTCACATTTCCAGTTACTGAGAAGATAACACTTTGTGAGTAGTGTTTATTTCTGGAAGACAAAAGAAAGCAAGCAAATTGCTTTTCTGTTTTTTTCTGCTGAAAGAGACGGCTTTCTCTCAGTTTTTTGTACAAGATAGATGCAAAACACTTTACAGCCCTCTTTCCAAGGTAATTTTCAGAGTTCAATCTGCACGAGCAGAAAATCTGTAAAGAAGCAGCAGCAGAGTAATATCTAGACAATTAGTCAACACCCTCCAGTTGTTACCAGGATTATCGAAATTAACATAATATGTGATCATTAAAAACAAAATTTTATAATTCATAAGAAACAACCAAACAAGAAGTCTTTGTTTTCCAAAACAGCACTACACATGCATGTCAGGAACACAAAAAACTGTAAATTTGTTGTGCTACCGTTTGTCCAACTACTAGCTCAAGCTCTTTGACAGATGCATTACAAAGCTGGTGGATGCTTCCAAACTGTTGCAGTAAAAGCAGAGCTTTTGTTTTCCCAACTCCTGGAATTTGTTGCACTGTGCGAAACACTGATGGCTCTGCCAGCTGAGAACACTGTTTACGAAGAAAGGGGTTATTGTTGTGATCCTTACTTTGTTCACGGACCTGAAGCAAAAAAAAAAAACCATGAGTGACACTGAGTGCCCTCTGCTGGAGCTCTGCTTTTAGTTTTTAAAATAGTTTCTTTCATCTCAAAAGAGTGCAACGCAATCACTAGGAAGTTTTTAAAACAAGCTCCCGCCTTAAGTGTGCGCCCTTACTAAGGGTTTTGATGCAGATCCACAAAGTCTTGCTAGGAAACCAACAGTTTCTTAATACAACCATGAATTAAAACAATGATTTGGTCATCTTTTTGATGCAATCAGAGAAAGGATAAAGGAAAAGAGAAACAACACAGGAACACAATTTCCCCAGCCTGAGACAAAGCAAAATCTCAAGTCGGTTTTGACAGTGAACTTAAATGAGGATTGCCTAATGCTATCCAGTAGCATCTCAGTGCAAGATCACATTAAAAAAAAAAATCCAGTATCATGTTCTTCAACTTTTCTTCTTTGTTCCCAAATGAGTCCTCTTTCCACTGAACTATACTACCACATTACTGTTGCAGGATATTTATTCCTTACATTCAAACAATAAAATAATGTTGTGTTCCTTTACGATGCCAGGTATTCCTTCTGAAATGAGTGATGATTGCGGGAGAACAGGTAATTCTCCTCATGTCTCATATTTTAATAAACGTTTATCCACTAACATAGAAACTTACTAGCTGAGTAATAAGTTGAGAAGCTTCTCCTTGATTTGCCACAGGAAGCAACACCATTCCAAGTTCTAGCACAACAAGCTTTTGCACTGCTAAGAAGTACTGATCACTTATTTGGGTTCTCTCCACAATTACAATTCCCCCAAGACTGCTGGTCTGTATTGAAAGGAAAAAAGAAGAAAAGACCTTGTTAATGACAAGCTGATGCAATGCAAGAGAGAGCAAACCTCTGTCAAGTATGAGCTGCCTGAAAGCAAATCAGAGGAAGAATAGAACAGCAGGAACAGTACTGAGGTTTAATACAGCATTATTACACAGCTGCATAATTTTTCAGTTTTCAGGTGGAAATTATTACAAAAGTTTAGCTCCACTAGAATTTAAAAATAACACAGGAAGAATGTTTTCAGAAGCATGGAATAAACAAATACCAATTTAAAACTTTTCTCTTTATGTAGTACTTACATTTCTAAACCGAACCAATTTTCGTTTGAATTCATCCCCTGCAACCAAATCTGCTTCAGAAATATATAAAATGCAAGTTCTGTTTGAAAGATGAAAATCCACAAGTCCCAAGTCATCTTCGAAGATGAGTCTAATTTTCCCTTAAGGTGAGATTGTTAAAAGAAAAAATACAGTAGTTAAACAAAAAAAAATACTAATAATTACTTCACAGCACAACCTTCCTAATGTGTCAGTAATCCTAGTGACTTTGACAACAAACTTCATATTCTTTAAAAGCCTTTCTTCTCTTTAGGCAAAACTGGTACAAGCAATCCAAAGTACTGTATGATGCCTTTAGTAATGCCAATTAATAGCACTTTCATACCACAGATTTGAAAGTGCTATAGCTTCTCAGTAAACTTTGGACTTGAACAAAAACATCACATGCTATTCTGAAAGGATCATCTCAATTTAGTTTGCTGTGCCGCATGATGATAGCACAGTCCCAGTATCCATGTAAATTCAAGGGACTTCAGTGGAGGTCCTTATTCACAATAGCCCCACTGCTGTGATTCCCAAGAAGCAGATACTTCTGGTTCTTCTCTACAGTGCTCAGCAATTATGCAAATATGACAGAACTGATCATGTAGATACATGATAGACAAACAGGAATTTTCAGCCTGCTAACATAGGCTGTACCACAAATATGGGACCAGTCAGGCACAGAGAAAAGCATATTCCAGCCAATCTTAGCAAAACTGGGTGATAGAGGGGAATGTTTTGCCTGAATTGTTTTTCCTCTTCCAATTTTTTTGTGCTTACCTTGTAGCCTTTGGGCTATCTCTGACCCTCTCCACTTCTCATTTCCAATCACGTGCCCATAAGGGACAACTATAGATCCTGCTGTCACAGGAAAGTTTGCTTTCGTTGTCATCAGGCCTCCTTTAAATCTTTACTTCAGTAGAAGTTACACCCTAGGAAGAAACGTGGAAGAGATATTAACACATTTCATAAACCTATACTGAACTTAAGTTTATGATTAAAATTTGTGAGATGGAATACTCTGGAAGAGACACTGTCCCCTCCACGAAGCTACCTTACAGTTATGGTTAATGTATCAAAATCGGTAAGCAACTCTGTTTACTTGAATACAGGCTGTTGGCTTGCAAATCTCACCCCCAACTTTGGCAATCAATCTGAAAAACACCTGAATTAAGACACACAGATGGTAAAAAAAAAAACCACACTGCCTTTTCTATGCCTTCATCCACCTTTGCTGGCAGAAAGTCTGCTTCAATTACAAAGCTGACTGCAGAGGCATCTCCAGCCCTCAGCTGGCAGAAGTCTCCAGATGGGTTATTAGAAGGTAGCTGCTGGGAGAGATTATTTTCAGGTTTGCCAGCTTTATGCAGTGTTCTGACTTTAGGAGGGAAACGGGAGTCTTTGAGGCTAAGGCACGATTTAAGAAGAAGAGCCAAAGACGA